CGGGCTGTGAGCGCCCCGGAAATAGCGGGGCGTGAGATTTGGCGGCAGGCCCTGCCCAGCTCCTGGGCGGAGCGCTTCCAAGCAGCCCGGCTGGGCTGGCCGGCAGGGTGCGGGAAGAGAGCCCGGAGGAGGGCAGGGGCAGGGTAGGCGGGGTGTCAGTGTCGCCACCCCCATGCTCAGCTCTTGAGTTCCTTCCCCCACTATTGGTCGTCCTTGTGCAGGGTCACAGGGTGACCTTGTTGGGGCCCGAAGTGGACGGTGGTCCCCAGCTGCCCTCGTGGCCCTGACCCCTGTGACCGTCCCTGTGTCTGCCCCCAGCAATCTGTTGAGTGCATGTGTGTGCCAGTGCTGGGCATGGGGCTGGGGCTGCAGTGTGGCCCCGTCCCGAGCATGTCACCCGAGTGCCTGGCACACAGCACTCAATAAAAGCAGCCTCCACTGCCATCGTCGTTGCTCTTGTGGTTAATTAACGAGCCCCGCCAGTGGGGAAGGATCTAGAAACGGGGCTCAGGGACTCGGAGGGGGCGACGTAGGAGTAGGGGAGGCCCCCATGTGAGGCCTGGGGAAACCAGGGCAGAGCACAAACATTGCTCCTGTCAGCGGGCATGGCTGGCCAGTGGGTGCAAAGGTAGGGAGGAAGGAGTGAGTTCGCTGGCTCCAGCCGGTGGACAGTGGTTCTGCCCTGAAGGCATAGGAACCTGCCAGGAATGTGCCCATGCCAATTCAGCCCCTTCATGAATCCATTCCCTCAGCACACACCTCGTGCACACTCGGTGCTGCAGCCCCAGGTGCAGCTGGCACCTGGGGTTGGGTAGGGTGAGGATGGTGAGGGGCCTCGAGCAGCTCTTTTGGGGATCCGAGGCAGCCACCCTCAAGAGCAGAGGGAGTCGCTGGGCTTGTGTGCTCACACCCCAGACTAGACTTGCAGCCACTCGGAGGTGGGAGGTAGGGGCGTTGGGGGTGCCGAGGGGCTGGGGGCACAGACACTCAGGGTAGCCAGCAGGGGCAGGGGGAGCATGGTTGTTTAGGGCAAGGTTGAGCAAAAGCAGGAATGGGGTGAGAAGATGTACTGGGGTGAAGGGTGAAGGTCAGGGGAAGGATCAGCAAGGTCAAGGACCCGATTGATGGGTCATGGGTCAAAGTGTCCTGGGGCTCAGGGCTTCAGAGCGGAATCCTGGGCTGAGGAGGTCAAAGGAGGGTTAGAGTTCAAGACAGGGCTGGAGCTTGGGATCAGGATAGGGACCCTGGAGACGCCACAGCCCGGTGACTAAGTTGAGACGATGAGAAAGGCACCGGTCCCAAAGTCAGATGCCCACGGTCATGACAATGGCAGCGGCTGTTGTAGGTCAGAGGGGTCGGGGACCTGCTGGGGGTCAGGGCAGAGCCCGCGTGACCCCCAAAGTAGTCCCCTGTCGCTCATCGCCAGGTTCTCGCCCATTGCCATCGATGGCGTGAGCGGCCTCGCGGGCGTGGGCCTGTCGGGAGGCGCTGCGGGCGCCGGCTGGTGCATCTTCGTGTACAACCTGTCGCCGGAGGCGGACGAGAGTGTGCTGTGGCAGCTGTTCGGGCCCTTTGGGGCCGTCACCAACGTCAAGGTCATCCGTGATTTCACCACAAACAAGTGCAAGGGCTTCGGCTTTGTCACCATGACCAACTACGACGAGGCGGCGATGGCCATCGCCAGCCTCAACGGCTACCGCCTGGGCGAGCGAGTGCTGCAGGTCTCCTTCAAGACCAGCAAACAGCACAAGGCCTGAGCCAGTCGCAGCACCCTCCCCACCCCTCCCCGGGCAGCAGAGAGAGAGAGAGAGAGAGAGAGAAGGGGCCCCGAGAGAGACAGCGCAGGCAGACCACGGACGGCACGAGGCCCCACATCCCTGCGGGAGCCACAGGGTGAGCACTTGGGGCGGGAGGGTCTGCAGGGAATGGGGGTGCTTGGGGTCCCCCACCCTCCAGGCTGGGCTGTTCACTCTCTCGTCTTGGTTTTGTTCTTGGCGATGGGTTTTGTTTCTTTTTTCGGCTAAAAAGAAAGCAGAGATGTGCCCCTCCCCCCTGCCCCACTCTCCACCACCATGAGCTCAGGAGGTGCTGGGGGTCCCCCGCCGCTCCCCGCCAGGACCTCCTCTCCAGGATGCCCAAACATCTCTAAGGGAGGGCCTGGGGGCGGGGAACAGGTTTAAAAATCCCCAACCAAGAGAAAGGTGAGGAGGGTGTGGGCATCGCCACCACAGAGCCCCTCAGTAGAGCGTGGGGAGAGGGAGGGGCTGGAAGCAGAAACAAAATGAAAAAAAAAGGGGGGGTGGGAGGGGAAGAAAAACTCTATTTTTGTAAAAAGGGAAAAAGACCTCGTGGAGAATTTTTACTGGGGATTCTTGAACTTGAAAAAAAAAACCACACAAAAAAAGACAAAAAAAAAAACATAAAGAAAATATTTTGGCAGGTTATGTTTACCACCGGGGGCCGGGAGCAGGGGGCAGGCAGGGCTTAGGGGCTGGAGTCCACAGGGCCACCACTAACCAAACCACAGCCGCTCAGGGCCCGCAGGGGCCGCATGGACACCCCAGGGACACAGCTCCGCTGATGCACCCCGGCCAACACACCTAGGGCCCACGGGTTCCACATAGACATGGGGCTTTGGTCAGAGAGAAAGGAGGCGGTGAAGGGGTGGGGGGCTACAAAAACGTGGACATGGGTACACACAGACACAACATCCAGGGACACAGTCAGGCCTACAGCATCAGGCCCCCGTGAGAGGTCCCACCTTCTAGCCCAGCCCTCCACGCCCTCCTGCTTGGTCGGCCTCCCGGCATCCTCAGCCACAGCCTGGCCCCAGGTTTTCTGCAGAGTTCTCTCCTGGGTCACCAACGGTCTCCCTGCTGCCCACGAACACAGACGCGCCCACGCGGCACCCACACATCCAGACACACGATACCTCGTTCCACTTTGGCACCACAGTGGGCTGGGAGCAGCCCCCGCCCCTCAACACTTGAGGCCAAAGGACCCTCTGCCCCTGGGGTGGCCCACAGAGCCAAGGGGGCAGCCCCGCCCTGAGTCTCCCCCACAGCAAGCACCCCATGCCCACCAGGCCCAGGGGCCCTGCCCCGCGTTCCCTCCCGCCCACTCGTCACCCCTTCTTTGGTTTGTTGGGTTTTTCTGTCTCTCCAGACTGGTGAGGGCAGTGAACACAGGCCCGTCTCCGCCATCCCAAGCCTGGCCGGGCCAGGGCTTCTGTCTGAAATGTACACCCTCCCCCACCCCTCTACCCAGTACCCCTCCTTCCCCAACGAGTTTTATTCTTTTAAACAAATGTCTGACAGAAGCCAGAGGCCTGGACCCTCGCCACACAGCCCCCAAAAAAGGGAGCCCTCACAGCCACCCCGACCTGCGGGCCTAGTCAGAACTGAGCATTGCAATCCCCGACGTTGCCTTCTCCCCGTGTCCCGGCGTTCGGTGTCCGGCCGTGGTCCCATCTGACTGTCCAGCTCTCTCTCCCCCACCCCTCCCAGTGTTTGTATTAAACGTCTGTGGAGCTTCTGCTGCAAGGAACAAAAAGAGGGAAAAAAACGTGACAAAAAAAAAAAACCAACAGAAGAGGAAAAAAAAAAAGCAACAAAAAAAAGAGAAAACACAGAAGAGATTTAAAAAAAAAAAAAAGACACAAACTGGCACCAGTTAACTTTCTTGTACTTTTTTGCCGAATTTAGCTTCTTGTAGTTTTAACTTATTGCTATGTTAACTATTTATTATTCCCTGTTGCAAGGACATTTGTGTATATTTCTGTTACTTCATCCAGTTTGCAAGTTAAAAGGAACGATGCCGCTCTTTCTTTCTGTTTTGCCGAGACGTGGTTATGCCTAATTTATTTATAAAAGGGGAAGTGGAATCATTAAAGTCCTAATAATAATAACAGTCAAGGTAGCCGAGCAGCACCCAGTGTGTGTGCCCGGCCCACGGCCAGCGACGTCTAAGGTCTCAACGGAATAATTTTTTGCTCTTGTCTTGAGAATTTTTTCAGTCCTTCTTAGCTGAAGATCCTAGCTTGTTCTTGATACACAAACCTATTTATTCTTGTGGTTCTGAGTCCTCCTACCCGCTCCCTCAGCAGGGCAGGCACCCCCAGGGGTCCCTCCACCCCTTGCTGTTTCTTGGGGCCCTTCCCCTCCGCCCTCTGCGCCAACACGTGTGCCCACGTGGGAAGCGTGCCCAAGGCGTTTGTGAGCAATAAGGGCTGGGTTTGTCCCCCACTCAGGGGGGACTAGGCCTTGGAGAAGGGGCGCCTCCCCACCCCTCATCCAGGTCTAGGTCCCTGCCACCCCCCAGGACTGGGAGGGGACATCTTTTTCTAAAACACAGAACTCAGCCCAGCCCCCTCCCTGGCAGCCGGCCCCTCAGCCCAGCGGCAGGCTGGGCCAGGGCTCCAGGGAGGGGGCCGTCAGAGTGGGGCCTCAGCCCTGCAGCCCTCCCTTCATCCTGTTATTTATTTGGAAGGTTTCAAAGCGCGACAGAGTCCATGTTGGAGGTGATTAAAAAAAAGTTTTAAAAGACAAAAAAAAAAAATTCAACAAGAACACTTTGCGTTGCGTTTAGACTATTTATTACCGGGATTACAGGCCTGGCCACGGTAACAGACTTTTACATGGAATTGTTTAATTATTTGTACTTTTCATGCCAGAAAATAAAAAGTTCAGAATCTTACAGCTGTGGGTGTTTGTGCTACATGTTGGGGGTGCCCTTGACGCCGGCTGGGTGGCCTCCCCACAGGGCTGGGTCTCCTCTGGAGCCAGGCTGGGCCCCACCAAGACACACTGCCTCCCTCCCGCAGAGTCAGGGCGGGTGGGCGGCTGGCCACGGTGGGAACCCAGAGGCCATTGGTGGAGTGTGTATGCGGGGTGGGGGGGTGTCATCAAACCCAGCACCAGTTGCAGGCTGAGAGCCCCGCTGCAGAGAAGCCAGGGACCGCCCAGTGACCCGTCACCTGGTCTCCTGCAAGCAAATCAAGGCACAGACAGACACCCAAGGAGGAGGTGGTGACCATGTTTATTGTTTCCAGGTCACAGGTCAAGTCATTCGACCCCACCAGAAGGGGAGGCAGGGAGTCTTTCATTGTCTCTGAGGCCCCCAGGGCCTGGGGGGATGGCTCAGCGAGTCCCCGAGATCAGACAGCTCACTGTCCTGTCCTCCACGGAGGTCGGAGGTCGGAGGTCGGAGGTCGCAGTGGGCAGCCTGGGTCTGTCATGAGGGCTGGGGGTCAGCCTGCGGGTCAGACCCTGAGGTTCTGGGGCAGGAGAGAGAGCAGATGAGCACAAGGAAGAGGGACAGCCCTGGAGGGCGGAGCGGCCAAGGCTGGACCCCACTGCCCGCTACCTCGGCTCGGGGCTGGCTAGAGCTCGTCGTGGTCACTGTCGGTGGGCAGCTCGGGTGGCGGTTCAGGGCAGGCGGCCGGCGTCGTCAGCTCCATCAGGTACTCGCAGCGGCTGGGCTCTGTGGTGCTGGTCACCACTGTCTCCTTCCCACATAGGAGCCGTACCTGGGGTGGGGCCGGGGGTGCTCAGGGGGGCCCAGTGGGGCACTGGGTCCCCCACCCACCCACCCATCAGGCACTTACAGTGGTGGAGCGGTTGGGGCCCTGCCAACAGCCTGTGCCCTGTTCATACTTCATGGCACTAAACTTGTCGTGGTCGGGTCCGGCCCAGGCGCCCCACGTACTGTGGAGGGAGGGAGCTGTGCTGAGGGGGTGGGGACCAAGGGCGGGGAGGGAGGGGGTGACGATGTGAGTTTAGGGTCACTCACCCAAGGTTGGGTGGGGGAGCCTCCGAGTTTGGGTTTCTGAGAGACGAGCTTGAAGGGGCAGAGCCG